CCTTACACTTTGTGGGTGCAAAGTGCATACCAAAGGACTGGATGACTTTGGTCAGTTCATCCAAGAATACTTGCGCCTTTTCCTCCTCTTCGAACATGAGAACGATGTCGTCTGCATATTCCAGATCGACAAGGTTTTCTTCACTGGCTATTTGAACACCAGGGTTTTGAAGACCCTACAGCGTCCGTCTCATTATTTCATCGATCACGAAGTTAAAAAGGAATGGAGAGAGTGGGCATCCCTGACGGACACCGCTCTGTGTGCGGAAGCTTTTGGGGAGCTCTCCGTACACTCTCACACGTCCGGAAGTCTGAGAATACAAAGAACGTATGATGTTTGCAAACTTCCGGGGCATTCCTTGGTGGGCAAGCGTCTCGAGAACACACACATTGCTCCCATCTTTTTGTTGGAAGATCGTTAGTTCTTTGTCGTCCGCTAATAAATCACATGGCGTTAAAGCAGAAATTATTGGGTTATAGTGAAAAATCATTCCTGGTGGGAAGCGATCGCAAAATCGCGTACTGGGTATGATTGACTTTGGGGGCGACTCGTTGGTACTTGGAAAGAATAAAGTTAGTCTGTCTTTGTAGTTCACTGGAACCGGGGGTTAACAGATGTATTTTTCCGACGACTTGTCCCTTAGATCGTTTGGTGTCTTGCAGGATACGGCCTTCCGCGAGAAACTTCTCGTTGGCTGCACGCGGAAAAATGAGCCAGTTTCATCGACGTTGGATACATCTCACAGAATGGGCTGGAATCTCATCATGTCAACGGAATATTATGTTGGTACGAATCTCTACAGACTTATCACTGAGATGATACGACGCCATTGTTGACATCTGTGAATCCACCCATGATTGGCTTGAAAACGATGTCTACCAACTCCTTGAGCAAATCACTTCGCTTTCCGTCTCTGAGTTTCGCTCGTTATCGGTATTCATTTTTGCCGTGCTGGGATAAACCCCAATTAGATGGCTTGGTTGGTTGTGTTGAGTGCACACAAGGCGGCTGGTTCGTTCCAGTTCCGTTCAGTGAGGGTTCTTGGACTGACTGTGGTATGATATGACTCTTTGCAGCACGCTGCTAAGAGATGTGTCTCGTTTAGTTCGGGTGACATCAGTTTCCCCTACACTGACGGAAGCATCTTCCTATGCGAAGTACACTTCGGTTGGCAGTTCGGTGAACTTTACAAATGATCAGAAAACCACCGGTATGTTGGACGTGTATCATCTGTCTGCGTGACAACGAATGACACATTTATACTTCAGTCTCCTGTTACCGCCACCAAAACGAAAGACGTGGAGTGAGGTCACAAGTCGATTCGAGTAACTGAGTATGGCAATGGAGTTAATTTAACCACTCCGAAGCTACTGGGCACGCAGTGACATCCGGATTCATCCATGGAGCCACGGAGCCGACTTTCATTCGTTTGGCCTTCCCTGGCCGACCATAATTGTTAATGATGTCCCGATTGGTGATTCTAGCACGAAGGCTGTTAGTTCTGCTTTGTTCGCGACGACACCGGGTGCGTTAACGAAGTCTGGAAGTCGTATCGTGGGCGGCCAATGTTCTCCTCGTGGGGCACTATCCACGTTAGCGGCCTCTATGCCAACGAGATCTCATGGCAGCGCAATCTACTGCTATGGCAACCACGCCACGGTCATTCAGTTCTATCTTCCCCGACAACTCTTAAACAGCGTCACCAGTCGACGTCATAACTGGCCTTTGATTGTGTTGGCAAACACGCCGCTGGGATTTTGCAACTAAACCTCCCACAATTAAACGGATCTGTCCGTAAAAGAAGCGATGACGCGATCAGATTTCATGCTCAGCCATTTATTCAGTCCGGGAAACAATGCCTGTCTCACTGATAATCCTCCGGTCGACGGTTTAAAATGATTCCAAAACGTTGTCTTTCGCCACAAAGCCAGAAGATGTTGTAGCCAAGGTGTTTAGCTTGTAACTGGTCATCTTACAGTCAAGTCAACATTCCTCATACGCTTTGCTGGCTGATCACCGAGTATTAGATCGTCGGGTCGATGACAGAGCCTTACGGTTTTTGTAGGAAGCAGTTTGAAGATGAAAAATATTCGTTCGCAATGCGGAGAGATTCGCTTTTAGGGAAGATCGCTAGTTCGACGCATAGATTTCGTCTTAGACAACCAGAGTATAATGTTTACTTCACAACCTGTACACATTCGAACCTAGGACCATGTCTGGTAGCACGGTGCTAATGACTCGAAGCCACGCAAATCTGCCAATTAGCTGTACTACCAACTACGAACGAAAAACGGTTGTTGTTTGAGGCTAGTTGGATTTTTAGTTTTGGGGTTGAAGTATGTTTGGAAAATCAGATAGGAAGTCTGCGGACCCACAGTACAAGGAAATAGTGGTTTGGTAGTGAATAAACGGGTGCACTGAAGCGATATTTATGTGCCGTTTGCCTAACCGATTACTGTGAGGATGTCGGTGCCGTAAACCGGACAAACAGCACAGAGTAACTGTTCTGTGGTACTAAGTGACCTTCGAATGCCACGATGAACTACGTCTCCGTCAGTCAAGCTGCTATCAGCTTCGCATTCCACGGGATTATGAAGTCCGAAGACCTGCACAATTGACATTACATAGAATTGTCCAAAACTACTTCACGATCCGGTCTGTCTATGTTCAGCAGTTGACCTAATAGTGTGCCCGAAGAAATCGCGGATCCGATACTTACAATCAAAATTACGCGTATCCGAAATTGATTCAGAACAGGAGATCATTTGTGTTAACGATGCTTGCTTAAATGCATTCGACAACACAAACCGATGCGTTCAAATTGCAACTCATAACAAACAGAAGGCATTGAATGGAAATCAGTTGAGCAAACATGGAATGATATCCAACCATCCGTTGAGAAGAACGGCCTCTCAGTACATCTGACCCAACCCAGCTTACTAAAATATCTAGAAAACCGAGCCTGGACTGGACTTTTAATATCACTTTCTAGACAACAGAACTAGATGATAATTGCAGATAACCACGCGTGTGACCGGTGTGCAGCTTATTAATGACACAACCACCCCTCATAAATCTCCCGATCTGTCCCTCTCGTTGACAACGTTTCTCTATTGCACCGGACTACTTGGATCGGTACCAGCCACAACCGGAATTCGAAAGCTTACTCTCTTGTAATAGATGGAGCTGGAAGTATCAGCCCGTGGTGAGATGTGACCAATTAACTGAATCTACTTCAAAAATCCACGAACACGTTTGGGGTGTGGGCATGAATGTTGGGTAAAGTGGTGACGGAGAATTCAATTGTGAGGGCTTAACAAGGCATTCCGTTAATCAGATTTTCACGAGATATCTACTAAAGGCAAAGTCACCAAGATTGTAAAACAAAAAACCGGTAGCTTCTTACCCCGTAAAACCGAACCGACTTCGGGTGAGAAACAGCACAGTCGACTCGAGACCGGAGAAAATCAGAAGGAAGACGAACCATATGATGCTCCATTGCCATAGGCGATTAATGACTAAAAAAGTCAGGATAGATGGGTCTAAGTTTAGATATGAACCACCAGCAAATGAGTATTTATCAAGTAATGCACCATGTAACGTTTTTGCTGCTCTACCTACGTTCCACGCTACAACAATTGCACGGTTGTGTTAGCAGGCACTGTACACGTTTGTAGAGTCACCGGTTCTATAATGCCCGTTACATGATTCTCCATCGACCGATGCTGGACTTCGACCCCCTCACAATCAGGTAGAGGCTAAGGCCACAGAGTTGGTGCAGCCAGAAGGCGAATGTGCAGCGACATTAATTGAAGCCGATAAGGTTCACATAAAGCCTTTGAATAACTAAACGAAGTGGCGTGGCAAAAAAGTAACCTCGACATTACGTCAATATGAAGTGGAAAATCAGAGTCCAGATACAATATGAACGGAGAACTTTCTAGATGGCCAGACAGAAGCAATTAGGGTACAAACAGACCCCACAAACCCGTGATCAAAAACAAGGCTCACTGGGCAAAGGAGTATAAAGTTATTTTTAAAAGACGGTTCAGTTGTAGCACCCTTTCGGTGCTGAGTTCTCGTGACACCCGAAGAAAGTAAGAGGACTAAAATACCACCAAGCTGCCTATGCCTAGGCAGGAGCAGTGGAGATGCAGAGATCGGATTCGAACCATGAACCTCCTGGTCAATAAGTTCGCGCCTTAACCAATGAGCCACCTCGATCAAAGGAGCATGCTGTCTTGAGAAGGCGAATGACCACCGCACATCCGTATTGTATCTTTTCACCTTTAGATCAGTTAGTGAAGCGCATGCACTGAGACCAGGTACCAAACGACCGCTGTTCTTCAACCAATTGATGTCAGCCACCATGAGTCAGTTTCTCACAAGCGTAAGCTCTACTGGTACGTTAACTGGACCGCAATACCATCAACTACCATGCTATTATTGAAAAGATAACGGCTATCTCATGGATACCAATCAGTCTAACAGGTTATAATGATAACTGAGCATGAAGAGGATATCATACTGAACAGAAATTGTATGGAGTACTTCTAAATGAGAGGACGTGAAGAATGAGGCTGAGCAGTACAAAAAGGGTATCTAGAAATGCAATGGAATACCACTTTTGTTCACAGGACAGGTACTGGTACCACGGAATGCACTCGTACAAATATGTAAGTCCACCAATCCAAAAGTTTTTGCAACAGAACTAACTTCATCAGCTATAAGGTCACCGACCACCTCGTAATGGCGCTTGTTAGGTGTACAACATGAGTCGTGATGAATTGGAGCAGAACTGTTCAACATCTAGTGTAACAGATGAATCAGTCCTTCAGACTCTTGAAGAATATTCAGTCATATGTACAGCCAACCACACTACTCGTCTAGACAAGAATAGTCAGAGAATCCTAACTTAAATCACGCGCATCGTGCTCGGTTCCACAACCCACTGGTGTTTAAAGCCTTAACTGAAATCGAATTCTGGCTTCCCTTCCATTCCGAAACGAAGTCAACCTCAACTCTGGCGACACCAAACCAGGAAATTTGTCATCGGATGTTCGTGATAATGCTAAGAGAAATTCACTAGACCATTCGTGGGTAATTTCATCCACAGATGTGACTAGTGGTTCCGCGGCACGATGGATGGACACGGTAGCTCACTAGGTTGCCATAAAACGGCAGTACCACGCGAAAGAAGCCCATGCGTAGCGGGACGAGATGGCTCAAGTGGTTAGAGCGCGAATTTACTGACCAGAAGGTCCGTGTTTCGAACCCGACCTCTGCCTCTAGCTTCCCCTGTCTAGGCTTGGGCAACCTGGCAGTATCCCAGCCCTCGTGCTTCCTTCGGGTGGCATGGCAGCTAGGCACCAGAAGGGTGTTACAGCTAAACGTCGCATAACATGACCTGTGTGCAAGTGTTACGCTATGGGGCGTGAAAGAGCGGTTTGTCGGAAGCTGATTGGCAGACACCCTGAAAACTGAACAGGTTTCGTGGATCAAGAAGACGAAACGTTGTATCAAGTTGTACGGGCTGGGAAAGAAGGGGGATAAGAAAGAAAGTCAAAATTACGGAACGAAATTGGAAGAGTGGCTGGAAGTTCTGGAACGGAATGACACAGTGTACAAAAGACAATGAAATTTCCATTGAAGTACACAGGTTTACACACTCCTCCAAACATCATAAATATTTCCATCGTGCCGTCCAAAAATTGAGACTTCCTCGATTGTACAACGAGAAATTTTATGCTAACGAATTACGCATTTTCAGTGTACTGCAGCATAACCATGTACACCTATTGAAAACTCAAGGTTCACTCTTAAGCTCAGCATACATCAGTAGGATCTTACATAAAAAAATAGATAAAGAAAGCTGTCTTACGACAGCAAGTGATGAATTAAACAGATATTGGAATACATACTTACTCCCTTCCAACGGACCAACCTAGTAGTGTAATCCATATAGTAGTGCGTTGCGCGAAGCAGACAGACCATCATTTTTGTATAGCAGGCTGTTGTTCACCCTCTTACGTCATACGCCAGTCCACTTGAAAATTAACTTGTGATGGGAAACCATTCTCCACACAGTTTGTTTAATTATTAACATTATTCTCACTGGAAATTTCATTGGCGAAGTGACGGTACGTGATACGACGCACTGTCCCTGCAAAACTATCATGTGCTGTCCATTCAGCCATATGCTAGCTGCCTTGTTCGGGGCGAAACGATCATCAAGTACTCGTTGGACAAATATCCGGGATGTCACGGTGCCGAATTCGCATACATGTTAGGTGCACTCATCTGCATGTCCAATTATTACTCCCACTGTTCGATTTGGACGCTTTGTGCATGCGCTTGCGTTCATACTTTCACGCAAAAGAAGTGGGGCAACTATCCTTCGGATATGACCACAACCACTGTAGCACCAAAGTGACGCTCAGATCAGTCACCTGAAAACCATGATTAATACTTTACCAACCCCTCATTTACTGACGAACAAATTCATAGCAGTTAGGACTACTGCAGGTTGTTGGCAATGGATAGTTGATGAGCAGGGAACCTAAATACATCTTTGCATCCAGTGAATGTGAAAACGCTGGGTCGTTAAAGTGAGTTCCAAATCGACCTTCGCTCACCACGGGCAATCCCATGCGTTATGTAGAAAAAACTTTATCACAGACTACACTGTCTACCCCACATGACAGTGTTGTGCGGCTGAAAAGCACACGGTGACCTCACAATGCCTTAGATAGCGAATGGTCTAGAGGAACACACAACTTTTGTACACAACGAGTTCAAATCCCGGGAAAACCCCATGTATCGGTATGCATAATATGTTCACAGAAAGTGTTTGACCCGGGAGGATAGTGGCAGACATGGTCATTTCTGCTAAACGTATACAATCAACGGTTATCGAAAAACTTGAAACGATTTCGCCCGTTGCACGCTGGAATTTGTGGTGACTCACTGTTTAGTTCCTTTTGCTTTGTGTGGAAACGGCGATTCTACAATCATTCATGAACTGTAGAGGCCGAAATTTCGGCCTTTCCTGTTTTATTGCCATCTCACTCCAAAGTCCTTTAATATGCGCTCAAAAGTGATAGGCTAATGTGTTAGAATGTGTGAGCCGTCAGGTCGTTTCAGCGGCTACTTGTAACTCTTGACAAAGCTGAGTTCCGAACCACTTGGTCTTCGAAACACTACCATTTTGATTCAGTTGCGTGGTGGTTCGCCATATGACTAAATCTTGGAGTTTGAGCTCATGATACGAGGTCAAGAACAAGCATGCATGTCACACTTTGAATTCCATTGACAATTAGCTAAGTTGATACACCTTCTAAATGTTATCAGACTACAAGATTTTGAATCCACATATCCCTGGTCAGCAGAACGCCTGGTAGAAATAGCTTCTCAATCAGTGCATTCCATGCCTAGCACCCTGTGAACACCAGTTGGGCGAGATCAAATGATTCTAACTCCGTTTCAGAGACGCGACTGTGTAGTTCTCCGAAACAAGTCGAATCAAGTACGCGTCTGACGAAACTCTAGTGGGAGAAATCAAAGCTGGTGATATTGCTATCAGTCATGAACCAATAGTCCGATACACCTGTGGGTTCGAGAAAGAAATCATCAAACGCGAAAGGTCACAAAGAAAATAAATGTTCTGTTGACATTACTAATGGCATGCAGTGTCTGTATACCGGCGGTTCAGGTTTAAGATGTCTGTCTGTTGCAATGTCGTAAAATGTCATCGATAGGGCAATGATATAAATCGAAACGACTTTCTGTGGAACTCGGTCGGCTTACCTTAAGGGTCGAGTTTCATATTATTTGAAACTGGAACTCTTTGTCTCAACAACACATCTTGCGATATTTCAGCACCAACGGAAAGCAGGAATTCAGAAACTACCGTAAGAATGTCAAGAACGTGGGCGCAACCCTCGTGGATCTTGCTATTCAAAATCACTGCTGCAAATATTTTTTCACCTGACAGATTATGAAACGGGGTGGCAAAAGCACGCGAAAAAGGGAGGATGGTGCTCGTGAGCCATTACGTTTTCCAACTACAAAACGATAGTTTTTGATATTTTTGTAGACTTTCTAGCCAAACCTCGAACTTTCGCGCACACTTAGCACCCACAGCGTTACACAGATCCCAAATATCCGCTAAGTATGAAAGCGAATAACTAAACCATCAAATTCATAAACTGAGCTACTAGAATTCGCCTCTATACAGATAAGTGCTATTAATGGTCACTTTCAACAACATCGTGGCTAACATGCGCTAAGATACGGTACTTTTCAAAGGTCACAAGATCCTGGGTGAGGGTTAAAGGAATCCAACGGTCTCTGAACTTGGGTTGGTCATTAAAAAATCCTGCAGCTTAAACCAGCATATGTATATACATGTGTATACATATACACATACATACATATATATGCACATACATATACGGGTAAAACCGTACCCCACTGTCAGTTCGCTTGAAGAAGCCTAAAATGAGGAACGGTCTTGAGAACAAACAGCACGACTCACCCTGTTGCGGTGCTTCACTTCAGGCTCAGATACACAAGCGACTATCACCAAAAGCCCGAATGCTTCGAGTATGGTCGCACTTAATCCTAGATACTGCAACAGTTTGGAGGCCACCGGTTTCTCCATCAGGCGTCCCATGATCGCAACAGATGTTGGGGGGCCTAAGGTGTATCCCACGCTGTAGGCAGCCCCGACTAGCGTCATGGCTCTTGTACGCATGTCTGGGCCACATTGGTCCCCAATTAGTGCTGATAGGACGGCGACATTCGCTCTGGTGATCCCGCACAACAGTCGGCTTACAGCAAACAGCGGGTAGGAGAAGGCAGATTGGGCACATAGTAGATAGGCAAGAATGCTGAGGGCCTGATAAGATGAAAAAGGATCACGCATGCAAACCTGTTTAAAAGAAGCTGAGAAAATATAAACCAAAATGTGGTGCCAAAGCTCAAGTCCATCATAATCACGGAAAGGATTGATTCACCCGTGGCTTACACTCCGTACCTACTACACTAAAAAAAATACACAATTTCCTGCTAACTATCTTCCGTGCCACATCTCGGACTTTGCCATTTTTATGGCTTACGGACAATCAATGGCGCACTTAAAATAAACGTCAAACAGGTAGTGGTTGACAGACCTGTGTTGCTCACGCCAAGAGATAGCCCACCCACCTAGAACTCTAATGGGAGCAAAATTACAGTGAGTGAGCTGAACCAACCACTACTCACTCATAATACATGAGTAAGTAGTCACCCTGTTTGCGTGCCACTACCAACCATGACACTGACGCGGAGCACACTGCTGTTTGGCAGAATGAAGCATACCTTCAAAAAAACAGCGGTTTAGGTCGTTCTGGAAAAAAATAAGTATTGCTCACATCTCTGGGTGTAGTCCACAGAATCGGACACCCAAAAGATCAGCAAAATCGTTGTTGCAGTCGAAGTTGACTTGCGATAAGTAACATCGAAATTATTTTTGTATGGTCAAGAGGTAGAAAGAAACGCGACACATATTGTCCTAGCATGCACAACGTAGCTACTTCGGTCGCAGCCAATTTATTGAGGAAAAGCGCGGACCAACGTGAATTTATTGTAATCACGTCTAATTTTGCACTCCACTACATCTCCCGTTACAAAACCCTTTGCCTGACGATGTTGCTTACTGATTCAGTAAATCAATCATCATCAAAGACAGCAACATCAGTGTTTGCACTGATGCTTCACTGCCGTGCAACCGTAAGGTTCGTCTTGCTTGCTATNTATATATATAATGATATTAGAAGCGCTAAAGTGAAAAGAAGAGAAAAAGGGTGGGTGAGGGAGGGGAACTAGTGCTGGCCTATGTCAAGCATTGTCGTGCCTACGACTCCAACCCTTCAATCAGACAGTCTGGAAAGAAACTGACAGCACGAACGCCACTGACATCGATTATCCGCCATTTCTGGCAACGTCTCCAGTCAAGCACAGGTGGGGCCACGGGGACCCCAGGCTGGAAGGTGTACAACACCAACAACACCCAAACTCTTCGTGATCCCTTTCACGCCTTTCTGCGAAGTTATGTGCTGTCCATCTTGCGGTTTTCGCTGTCCTGAAGGAGGCACGGAGAACAACACTCGTCTCGGTAGACGGTGTTTCGGCATGCGTAGCACATGACCGAGCCGTCGTGGCTGGATGTTTTCTCGGACTGAGCTGCCTGCAGCACAACCAAATACCTGTTTTCTAATCACCTCGTAACTAACACGCTGACGCCATACAAAACCAGTCACGCTTCTGAGGCACCTCACAAATGTTGCCAAACGAACCGCGCAGAGGCGGCTGTCAACGGATATCCAATCAAGCAGAGACGCTTCCGCTCGTTCGCTCAATACAATACCCACCCCAGCATATCCAGCTGCAGCGGCCTCTGCATCACCAGAGGTGCGCAGTCGGAACCTGGAAGAGAGCGAGGGGGCAGTCAGTTACCTGCTTGCCTCAGTGTGCGAACATTGAAGGTGACTGAATAGACAGGCTTTTGTGGCTTTCGAGAACAGACTTCGAAGTGTTCAGGGTTAACTGAACTCGGACGTGCAGAAGCTGCAGCTGAGTGTGATGCAGGGCGAGCAAAACGGTCAGCCTAGAGCTGGGATCTGCGGAGAAAGTATTCAAATTTGGGCGGGGGAGGGTGAAAATGTATGAAGGGAGGCGTCATCAGCAGCATGCTTTCGCCTACCTGCCCTGTTGTATGCAGCAAGTAAGCTGACTCGGCTGATGGCACCAGGCGACGGCCGATGCGGCATGAGTATTGTTATCTGGAAATGTCATGGTTGTACGAGGGCTGTGATACTACCAGGGCGCCCAAACCTAGACAAAAGGACGATTAGGGTCCTCAACCCAAGCCTTCGGCTCAAAAGCCCAAATGCAAAGCAGCGGTGTTGGAGGATCAGAAGACTGTGTTCATCAGACCTCTATCCATGGACAAACCTGGTATAAGAGACTCTGTGGGTGTCACGCGGACATCCCCCAGTATAGCTCAATGGGTCACCTAGGTACACAAACCGCTACACCACGGTAAGGTCCAGTCTCTTCGTGGCGGCCAATAAATCAATTCACTAAATGATTGGTTTGTAGTATCAAGGCTTGTTGGTGGATCAAAAAGCTACTCCCAACCAATACAAATGTCCTTTTAAAGAGGCATTTCGCTTCCTGATTCATACCGGAAACGAAAGTTCACGTCAAGATGCAAGGCATTGTTGCCGAGGGGAGTTAACAAGGAAACAAGATATAAACCCATATGTAGCTAGTCCATTGAAAAACCCACGAAGCAAAGATGGTGAACACGTACGGTGTACGAAGTAGTAAACAATAATGAAAGCGAAACCTCCCACAATCACCGCATTTACCTGTAGGGATATCAGAATGCGCTTACGGCCATACACATCAGATAGAGCACCGGCGAATGGAGAGGAGAAGAACTGTGCAACTGCGGCAGTTGACGTCACTGCACCTGAAAACTCATAACTTTTATAAATCAAAAAACTTGCCACCAAAAATAGCTGAATTCCATTTTAAATCAATAGAAAGCAGTGAGTTTATAGTTTCGGAAACACGTCTAAGTGAAGTGTGAAAAACGTCCTATGTTAATTAGGAGAGAGAAGATCAATCAGAACCGTACCTGACTATCTGCTGCGAAAATCGTAGGAAACCATGGCAAAATGATGCTAAATGCGATAACATCGGCTAGCAGATAAACGAATATGGCGGAAATCGAAGACCAGTGCATTGATGTTAGTGAGGCTGGAACAGGAGAGACAAAGAGTTAGTGGAGATTTCGCGTTTAGTTTGTTGGTTCCACATAACCAATAGGTGGGGATAACATTAACTCATTATAACAATTGAAAACACTGCCACCATCATTGAAAACCCTAAAGAAAACGTTGTCCATTATTCAATTCGAATGCAAATACAGAGGATGAGACCTTGGCATAAACTTATCCTGCTAGTGCATCAGTCCAAAAGTCAGCAATATCGGTCGTGTATTCCTGGTAAACTGAAAGAAAATCTAAGGATATTGTCCAGAATAGAAGAGTACTTCACTAGTACGTGCGATAATTCATGAGGGTTCGAGTTCTTTGGAAGTATAGAAGCATAACAGTACAATCTGTGCCTCCTATGGTATGCTTTTAGAGACTCGTGAACATTAGAATTCCCAACGAAACTAGCTATCGGTGTACCTTGGTGTAGAGTTCACTCACACAGCCGTAATGAAGAAAGAGTCCACACTAAGATGAATTTAAAGCAGCTGTTTTTTAAAGGAGCAAATGAATGAGTTCCCGAAAACGGCCCTGCTCCAGGCACTGGTTCCAAAAGGCTTTTTTTACCCGTTGGCCAGATGGCTGGAGAATTCTAACGGTTGGCATGAATGATTATGCTGAAAAGCGCATACAGAGGGGCGCTCCGCAGTTGCGAATGACTTATTATTGACCGAACCAAGTCAGAACTAAGGCAGAATGTCTGAATATGGAAACGTTGCTGCTGAAATCACACCGTGGAATAACAAAGCTGAGATGGGCTTCTGAAACTTCCGATTCCATTGCAGTCGGCGCGGCATCAGTTTCTAATTGAAGTTTTGTTGTTCCGCAACAATTGCATGGGAGTGTGGAGCCTAGTTCCTGAACCCAAAACAGACGGCTTATCGTGATCCCACAAATCTGGTGGTCAGGAGGATGCGAATTCTACGGATGTAGCGGTAGCGCATTAGAGGATATTACAGACCAGCAAGGACTCCTTTGAGTTAATATGTGTAGTAAGGGTGGCGGCTGAAAACCTTCTACAGTGCACTTTCCGGATCTTTGGAGCGCCCGAGTAAACCATGATGATTTGGCGCACATCTTCGAGTTTGACGTGGACAGTCTAAACCCAACAGCATAGCTCCATTACATCGGTCCATTTGGCCCGGGCATATACTTCGGATGTCAACTCTAGGGCGATTCCCGATTCAGACACCGTTTGTATGCAATGGATCCAGCCGGAATGGGTGAGGCACACAGGCAACTGCCAGACTAGTCTCTGTCGGCTCTGTCCGTTTTCCTGTGTGAAGAGGATCATTGTTGGCTAAAGACGTTGAAAAGCGTAAATCAAAACCGATTTCAGTAGCGGAATTTCCCGTCTTATTTTCGTTGCGAATAACAAGCATGCATCACCTTTGCATATGTGTTTACACTGTCTCCGTTTTCTGTACCACGATCTGTAAAGGAACCGTAAATTAACAGGCCATTGTAAATACATAGTGGCACCTCTTTCCAGATTAAGGACCGCTTCCTGAAGGGACCACTTAGTCCTGACACAAAAAGTTACAAAAGGGACGTGAAAGTATGCCGAATTAGTCTCACTACTCCCAAACAGAAACACATCTTCTAGAATTTGTGAAATGTGGATAAACTGATACAAAACTTGACAGCTGTTTAGCGATAGAGAACAGTCTAAAACGCATCCTGATACTAGGACTGAAAACGTGGGCAAGATTTCTTTTAACTGAATATTTGAATTTATTCCGTCGGTCATATAAACTAGGGGTTTGGTCAATCTCTCAAGAGAAACCTCCCATAGGGGCCGCTTTGACAAGGTCCCACAGGCGGTTCTCCTGAAACAATGCTGAACATACATGATTTACCGACTCACAAACAAAAATCGTTTGAAAACCTTACTGAGAACTAAGATGATACCTAGTGCTAGCCTACTGCATGCATTTTCACATACCTACAATCCCAGGCGTTCAAACAATCTGGATATAAACAAACAAGAACGCCAGTGACAGATAGTAGCATTCAAATCTTACAGCATATATAACCAAGCACAAGAATGATTACGTGGACCCAATCCTGGAAAGCGTATCACAACGACGGTATCCAGGTTCTTCGTAACTGCTAGGCAAAATGTTAACGAATACTCTGCCAACGTCATTCTTAATTAAGCGCAGAAAACAACTATCCGTCACATGGTGATTTGGTGTGCACAATAAACGACAGAGAAACTTATAAGGGTCAGTGTTGTTCACTACGAGTATCTTACCATTCTTATATATACATTAATTTACCCGTTCATTTCGCACAGGTTTGCACATTTCACCAGAAGTCTTATTTATAACACGGTTCAGAGACGCGTGAATCGTTTCAAAGCTAGACGTCCGGAATAATTATTAGCAGAAAGAAGTGCAATGCAAATCCATGAATGGACAAGCATGCCTCTGTTCAATTTTTCTCCTCGTCTTTTTCGGTTTCACGGTGCGTTGTGCCTTCGAATGGAAACTCCGGCTGAAGTTCATCCGCCACTGTGATTGGTAATTAAAGATTGCTTTCAATAGCTTGCTGACCGCCAACCAGAGATACGATGTACGTGTTGTCGGTTGACCGAATTCCACCCGAAACCATCTCAACGCAGCACTGACAGCAGAGTCATCTACTGGAGCGAGGTTAAACCCCTCCTGACGGATGCTATGTCAGTGCAGCGAGCCGGCGCATTTCAGCTTGGAGCACTCGCTTTATAACCAACCAATCAATCAATCAACCAAGCAGTTACTCAATTTATCAGTCACAAACCGTGTACCATAAGCACAATGATTCCAGTTGTTAGAAAAACTTGAGTATTGAGCCTTGAAGGCGACGGCATGGTTAGTTAATTAGGAAACATGGCAGCTACAAATTGGAAGCGACGGCTCTGATGCAAGTGCGTCACCGACTGCGCGATTGGGTCATGTCTGCCAGTGTCATTAGCCATTGGCGAATTGAGTCCTCGGGTCCACATCCAGGGAGGCGGCAGTTGTCGGCCCAACTCAGTTCACTGGTTAGTGTTTTCACACTTCGTGGTTAGGTCATACACTGTTCACCTCTCGGTCGCTTACACTTGGTACAGGGCTGGGCAAAATGAGCTCTGAGATGCAGGCGGTTTATTGGCATGCGGAGTGCATTTCCTAACCAGCGTAACCTATGAAGCGTGACTAATCCATCTATCACGACGGAGTACCTTCTTCCTAGGACCATCCGGCGTAACTCAGCACTGAAAATCCGACGTTTCAACCAGACCCGACCAATGTTTCGGATATACTGATGTCCAAACACTGAAATCCTTCGAATATCCTCTGTGTATAGAGACCACGTCTCGGATCCAAACAGCAACGTGGATGCGTGACTAACCATCTATCACGACGGAGTACCTTCTTCCTAGGACCATCCGGCGTAACTCAGCACTGAAAATCCGACGTTTCAACCAGACCCGACCAATGTTTCGGATATACTGATGTCCAAACACTGAAATCCTTCGAATATCCTCTGTGTATAGAGACCACGTCTCGGATCCAAACAGCAACGTGGATCGCACTGACGCAGTGTAAAAACTTCACCCATGACAGACAAACTGACGTCGCGTCAGTACCATAGGTGGCGAAAGTTGGCAAAAGCTGTCCTGGCCTTCCAGTTCAAAACATAGTCTCATCTCCAGCTGTTCCACCAGAAAATATACAACTGCCAAGATGAAAAAAATTATCTACCACGTCGACTGGCTGACATGCAAGCATAATGTGTGGGTTTAATCTCACCCAGTCTTGTAGCAGCACTTTACTCGTCGCAGGTGTGAAGCGCATACTAAACCGTGCGCCAGAGTTAATCAAGTTGTTTGAAATCGTATGTATATGAAGAGGACCTGAAGCAGGAAGAGCAATATCATCCGCATACTCATTGCTTGTGGGCGATCCCGGAGGTCTCAGAGGGAGGCATGAAAATTCCAAGCACCACCTGCATCATGAAGTTGAAGGGGACAAGATGGTCCAGTGGTTAGGGAGCGAATCTACTGACCAGAAGAGACTGGACCTTGCCGTGGTGTGGCGGGTTGTGTACCCCGACGGCCAATTGAGTTATACTTGGGGCTGTCCACGCGACACCCTCATACCAGGTCTGTCAATGAAAAAATGGTTGGAAGTCTGATTAACAGTCTCCTGGTCCTCCATGACGGAGTTTGGAACATATGTGGCGAGTTGTTCTATAAAATTGGTAATGCTTTTGCATTCCCCACCCGAGGAGTTAGACTTGTAAGCCAAAGGCTTTGGTTGAAGACCCTAATCGTCCTCCTGTCTATGTGTAAGCGTCCTGGCGGTATCCCAGCTCATGTACGGCCATGAACTGCATAATCAGAAATAAGCAGCGGACCCGCCGGTCATCACGTGATGCCTTCATCCGGGTCGACTTACTCGCTGCACGCAGCAGGGCGGGTAAGCAAAAATATGCTACTGTTGACGCTCTTGTTCTGTCTCTTCCACATATCCCTTCCTCCCCTCTCCCCACCCCATTAGTCACTCAATCCTTGTACGCACAGTACTTAGAACTGATGACTCCGTTCGTCATGCATCGCTTTTGCGCGCAGCATGTGGCCGTCATCGGGCGCCGACATCCTCAGGCATCTCGAAATGAATCTTCAGGCCCAGACACCCAATCTATCTAGCCACCTCCAGTTTCTGCGGCAGGCAGTTCAACAAGCTGCTCTTGCTCCCACACTAAACTCGTCTGCAATTGAGGCGTGTTGTGTATCTGTTGTGTCGTGATGAACGGTCTTACAACTTTGTGCCGGTCCTTGGCTTCCTGCTCCGCCAACTATAGCAAATTGAAAGGCACGGTAGCCTCAGACAGCCATTTATGGATACAAAGGAAGATTATTATAAGCGTATTAATAGGGTCATCAAAGAATGATCCACAAAACCCAGGTAAAATCTCCGCGATGGGGCGAGGCGTCGAGATGAAGATGCTCGATTCAGATTAGCCGACATGCTGACCAATCAGGGCAAGCCTTTGCTTGACCCGTAGCCCGCGCGTAACACACCTGCCCAGTTGAAGCGATGTTCTATTATTAAGGACGAATGATCCCTGAACAGTATCGGAAACAACAATTTCAAAATGCAAACACAGTGGTCGAGCTGACCGCCCCATCACTCTCCACTCGTTTCCGGTTGCTTAAATCTGGCTGTCCAGCGCAGGCTGCAGCAGCATTCACGGATTCACGGATTGATACATACAATCGAGGCTTTTGCCCAAGTTTCCCGGGTCGGTTTTGTTCTTGTCGGTCAGTGGCTGTCGTTCACCTGAAAGGCACAAGTGAAAAAAGGGTGTAGCACTGCTTTTTATGTTCTCAGCGC